CCATAAATTCTCGAGGAGGAATTCTCGAGGAGAAAGAAGAGGAGGCGAGAAAAGAAATCACGAAAATAAATAAATAAAGCGCCGCAGATCTTAGTTCCCGAGTACTGTACAGTGAGGCACCTTCTTTTCGGCATGTTGTTGATATTCTAAAACGACTCGTATGGTACCGTTGTCCCAGGACTGAGTTCATGTCTTGTTCCGTTTTTGGGGGTTTTGGTTTTTTAAAAAAAAATCTTTTTTTTTTTTTTCCTTAATTAAATTTTATTTCCAGATGCTCCTCATGCTCTTGTTGTTCTTATAAATGTTATGTGTCCGTGCTCTCTTGATGCTTTCTGGAAAGCCAGCATGTGTTCTGTGAGCCCTTTAAATGTTATAACTTATTTATAAATTGAGAACAGATACGGTTGTTTGTTTATTTGTTGGGATTTTTTTTCCCCCCTCTTTTCTGAGTTTACTGCTTTTGGGTGAGTTCTTCTCTGCCTAAGCTAAAATCGGGGGTTCCTGCACTACAGTCGCAGAAAAAAAAAAAAGCCTAAAAAAACCAAACAAAAATGTAAAAAATGGGGGGAAAAAAAAAAAAAAAAAAAAAAAAAAGAAGCAACTCTTGTATCTTTCTGTCTTAAAATTGTCCAGTCTGTGTTTTAGTCCAAACTTCAGGCCAGGATTTCTAATCCCAGGCTAATTCCGAGACGTACTCTTAGACGTGGCTAAACTTCACTATTAAAAGGAGAAAAACAAAAAATGTATAAAATCGGACCAACAATGGAGTGCTCTGATGTTTGTAAATACTAGAAATATTTCTGATGTGACTAATAGCCGGGTTGTAGTGGGCAGAGTGAATGCAATGTTATGTGTAAAAATGGCATCTGTCATGTCTAGCTGCCTGTTAGTACTTTGCCAATAAGCTTTTTGTATTTGTTTGTAGCTTTACTCGAAGTCAAATAAACGTTTCTCCTACTCACAAAGGCTCCCGCTCGCACTTTATCCCCCAAGCCCGGGGATTAAAGCCGGGGAGACGCCTGGCACGGGGCGGGGAGCGCTCGGCGGAGCTGCAGCCTCTCCTGGGCACCCCTGGCAGCTCCGAACCCCCCGAATATCCGCAGCCAAACCACCTTTCTGGCACCGCGCGAGGGGATAAAACACGAGGCTTCGCGCTGCCCCAAAACAACACAAGCGTCCCCCTCACCCCCTCCCCGACACCCCGCACCGCCAGAACCGCTCTCGAGTCCTTCGAGTCGCGCTCAAACCCTTCCCCGGCCGATTTCCGCGCGTCCCGAGGAACTGTCGGACAGAAAACAGGCACCACAGCCACAGCCACGGCCACGCCAAACTGCGCTCGAGAGAACCGCGGAGGGGAGAGCGGGGTTCGAGACACGGAACGCGCCCGGCAATCGCACATCTCGGGGCTGAGCTCAGCTCTCCGCTGCTCCTCGTCCTCGCTTTATTGGGCTTTTACCTCTCTAGGCTCTGGCTTAACGCGCAAAGAAGAGCTCGCAGCTCTGTAACTCCTGGCGCTACAACGAGGCACTTCGGCTGCAGACAATTTAACATCAGCAGAGACGGCAAATGTTGCCGTTTCGCTACCCAGGGAATCCAACAAGGCGCGAGATACTTCGCTTTAAAGTCGCTCGATTTGGCAAAACGCCACTGACATCTCTACCACACGGCTCAGGCTCTCTCTGTTCGTAGCAAGTAAAGTTGGAGCTTAAAACTTACCAAACTTAATCTCCCACTGTTTAGGTACTTCTTAAGTGATTTTGAGAGGGATGTGAAGTGGACTGTCAGATCCCAAACCATTTGCTCGCCTTCCTTTGGTATTTTTTTTTTTCCTTTCTTTCCTCTCTCTCTCCTTTTTTTTTTTTTTTTTTTTTTTTTTTTTTACCAATAGCAAACTATACCAAAAGTGGGTATGACATTTAGATGTCAAATGGATAGGGTTTTATCTAGAAGTTAGATCGTAAAAATCGCCCAGACCTCAGACAGATACCCCTCACTGGCTCTCAAAAGTCACGTGAGGTCCATAAAGTTAGTTTTATGGTTTTGGGGAGTTGACAATGTACAATATATTTCACATTCTCTAGAATGTTAAGTGACACTTTAACTGCTTGGTTTGGCTTGTAAGGGGCAGCAATGGGTGAGCACTTTTCCAGATGAGATAAACGTTGCAATTGCAGGGAACATGTTTTGCGGGTCCAGTTTTCAGTCCAGGGAGCCAATAGACTGGAGTCCTGAAAGTAAGTCCTTCTGAAATATTATCTGCTTAAACTGTTTTAAAAGGGTTTGGATATGGCTGGAGGCTGAGCGGGGAGGAAAGAGGGGCTGGCTCTCTGTCGGAGCTTTATTTCTCGCTTTTCACAAGGTCCGAATTCTCGTCCTCCCGCGAGCCGCAATCGCGTTGTTCCCATCCCGGCTCCCAGGCCCGCCAGCAAAACTTTGGGCGAGCGGGAGAAATAGAGAGAGAGAGAAAAATAAATCTGTAAAGATTCATTATCGTCGCCAAAGCAAACTCCATCCTGCCTTCGCCGGGGGCCGCGGGCGCTTCAGCCAAAGTTTGGGGGGAAAAGGTTCTTCTGGTTCGTTTGCTGGAGGTGCTTCGGGGTGGTTTGTGCTGCTCTCGGGCGGCCCCAAACCCGGCCCACGCCTCTGCATCTCGGCCAGCTCTGCTCTGTCCGTGCTCCTCAGGTTGTTCCCACCTTCGCATTTTACTCCTTTTCCACCTGCTTTTGCCAAAGAAATGTGTGCAGTTGGTTTTTTTTTTCCCCCCTTTCGGCCTGTGCAGAGACCGGGGTTGGTTGGTTGGTTGGTTTGTTTGAGGGATTGGTTTTGGGTTTGTTGTTGGTTGTGTTTTGGGTTTTTTTCCACCCAGGGCTTTTTTAAATTTTTATTTTATTTTATTTTTTTTCCTCTTGGGTTTCGGTTTGTTTGTTTGTTGTTTTTTTTTTCCCCTAATAATACGAACGAGTGTCCTCGTGTTTGTGTAGTTCGTTCCTACCCTACGGAGACACTGGATGACCACTGCTGTGTCTCCAGCCTCTCTCCAAGTGCTACAGAAAAATAATCAGAGAAGCTGCACTTTGCCCACGGACCCTCCAAACCTTGTTGAACCCACCGGTACCTCCCAGATTCCCTTCTCTCCCCTCTGAGGGTGACAACTTTCTGGGAAAGGCAGGCAGCAGCAGCGCTTTTCTCTGGGAAAATAAACAAGTGAGCGGGGAAGGGCCGGAGAGCAG